AGCAGACTTTCCTATGGCAATACGTCTTCTAAATTCCTGGCTACTGGTGCCGAGAGTTATTAGTTAGATGTGGGGGGGAAACACCACAGACACAAACCCTGAAAAACAAACCAGCCCCTCTTGACCATACACAATCAAAAGGGCATCATTTGTCCAGGAATAAAAGTCAGAAAGCAGGCAGGGGTACGAAGGAAGAAGAAATGGGAATTAGAATGACAGGGAGGAAGTGAAGAGTGTGCTGACTGCGATCAGTGACAAATCAAAAGGTGTATGGATTATTGAATGGAAAACCAGCGTTCTCTGTAAATCACCCAGATCACCTTGAAATATGGAGGGAGGGAAGTTTTTTCTTTCCACAGATGATAAGACAAAGAGAGGTGCCTTGGGACTCTGGGCACCCAGAATCTTCCTGTTCTGGGCCCCCTTCCATTCCCTTCCCTCTCCCTTTCCTGTTATGATCTCTGGACATTGAGGGGCATTTCTGGTGTTTTAGGAGCTGGTCACCTTCCAGGACGTTGCGGTGGACTTCAGCCAGGAGGAACTCGGCTGCCTCAGCACTGCCCAGAGGGACCTGTACCGGACAGTGATGCTGGAGAATTACCAGAACCTTCTCTCTCTGGGTGAGTGTGCCCTGACTGAGCCTCAGAGTCTGCCCACGGTCGCGCGGGAGCTCTTAACTCTTCTTTAATTCCGTTAGTAGATTGCGGGGCACCAAAGCTACTAATGGTTGTAGTCGTCGTGGCTCTCCATGGTCTCCGTGCAGCCCCAATAAATCCCATCAGAATCACTGTGAATGAAAAGATGGCTAGTCTCCGGAGTACTGAAGAGCAGTGCTGTCAGTCTAGAGACTAAGGTGCACCTGGTCTTTGCAGTTACTTCCTATGCATCAGAGAGCTGGACAGTGACTAGGGATAATGGAAGGAGAATTGATGCCTTTGAGCTGTGGTGCTGGACAAGAGTATTGAACATACCATGGACTGCTAGGAGAACAAACAGGTTCACCCCAGAGAGGGTGAAACCAGGTTGCTTCTTGGAGGCCAGGATTCTAAAGCTTCATCTGACATACTTTGGGCATGTTGTAAGGAGGGACCAGTCCTTGGAGAAGGACATCATGCTTGAGAGGGTGGAGGGACAGCGCAGGAGGGGAAGACCCTCGATGAGATGGATTGATTCAGTGACTGGGGTAATGGGGGTGGGTGTATCAGAGACAGTAAGATTGGCACAGCACCTCTTCCCACCCCGAGTAGTGGCACTGGAGAACGTCTCAGGTCTCTACCTGAAGCCTCCTGGGGGGTAAAACGATTGAGAACTGCCACTTTCTGCGCCCAGAAGCAGAAATTTGTTTATTCCAGTGTGACTTTCCACCTTCTTTTCACCCAAAGTCACCTTTTCCTGGCCCTGTCCGTCCTGTCCTGTCCTCATCATACCTGCTCTGCTTAGGTCTGTTGCTGCAGTCGCTGTGTCCATCTGTCCAGCCAGACTTGTGTTTATGTTTCAGTTCAGCTCTTTGAGGGTCTTTCTGGCCTTGGTGGGCTGGCCCTCCTCTTTTCCTAGGCTGAGGTCCCTCTCCAGGGCCTGGCCGCTCCTGAAAACAGGTCCGGAGTAAATGAGACCCCGGCTCGCCATCCCTCGCTCTGAGGGGCACTCCGGCCATGCTTCTCCTGGACATACCTGCTTGTCCTTTGGTCGGTCTGTGGTCTTTTCCGTGCTCTTTGCACCACAGTTCAAAGACAGCCGTTCTCCTTTCTAATTCCTCGGTAATTGCCCACTTTTCATATCCTAGGAAGCAGTCAAAAATACCGTGGCTTGTGTCCGGGACACTCCAGTCTAGAGAGACGCATTTTAGGGAAAAACAATGACGGAAGCAGGAGTGGCATCCACTTCCCAAACCACACGCCTCTGGAAACTCTGTGAACTTTGGTAAATGACGATAGTTCCAGAGAGGCTTCAGGCCTCTTGTTCATAGGGTCGCCGTGAATGGTGCTCGACTCTGTGGGCGTCAACAACAGCCATGAAAGGCCCACAACGGCTGTGTCCGTTTTTGTCACTCATTACCCTTACTTTTTTGGGTGGGTTCCACATCACGGTGCGACTCCGTGGGTTTCCCACGGCGGTAGGTCATTCTGGGAGGAAGACTGCTTGTTTCTCCTCCGGAGCAGCTGCTGGATTCAAACCTCTGCACTTCTGATGAGCAAAACAGAACAAAAAGGATACTCTACCAGGGCCCCTTTTAGTTGAAGTTTTATTCAGAAATGGGGACATGTGAGAATCAAGAGGACAGATGAGTCAGGGGGTAGACCACTTTGAAGGACCATGTCTTTGTTATTTTTTCCAGTCGTAGGAATGTTTTGTTCTTTTAATCCTAAAGGAAGACACTTACCTTCCTGTTCCGACTGCTGTCAAGTCCCCACCGCTGTCAAGTTGATCCAGGTGCCTAGAGGCCCAGTAGGACAGAGTCGAGCCGCCCCAGTGGTTTCTTCAGGCTTTATATTGTTATGAAAGGATGCCCGTCTTTGTCCCAGTGAGTTCAGACAGGTGACCTTGAGGTTAGTAACTTTGTTTAGCCACTATTTTAACTTTGAAGGTGATTTTAATCTATGGGCCTCAGGTCTGGTTTTAACTGATTTTAGTCAAACACTCTTCTAAGCGGTATCACACTGGTCTGTCCATTTGCCGCACAGAGGTAACTCGTGGTTGCTGTGGTGCTGAACACTGTGACACTGATGTGTCGAATGCATTAACGGTCACCCATGGTGGACAGTGTTTGATGGAGCTCCCCGATTAAAACAAGCTTGGAAGCAGGAGTGGCATCCACTTCCGTAAATAGCTTGCCTCCACAAACTCTATGAACCTGGAGAAAGGATGAAAGTTGCACAAGTGTTCAGGTCTTGCGTTCATAGGGTCGCTGTGAGTTGTCTCCGGCCTGGTGGTACTTAACAACAACTCTGTTTAACCACTGCGTTGACCACTATGTTTCAACTTTGACGTGACTGACTGTTTCACCGCTGTGGCCCCCAGGGCTGCCCTAGGCACTGACCCAGGACCTACTTCTGTGGAGACCTGAGAGGTGATGTATTGAAGTTGACTGATTTAAGCACCTGAGTTAGATGATAGGTTTTGTGTTGTTGCTTTCACGGACCGCCGAGTCAGAACGGGCTCATCGCCGACCCTCCGGTGGGGTTTTCCACCGTCAGATCTGCGCTTGGCCTCATCCCATGGCATCCTCACGATTTCGGACATGCACGAGCCCCGTGTTACAGCCTGTGTGTCCGGCCAGCACGTTGAGGGGCTTCCTCTTTCTCTGACCCTCCTCCTTTTCCAGCTGATGTCATTTTCCAAGGACTGGTGCCTCCGACAACATGCCCAGCGTGCGTGGGACCCGGTTTCGCCGTTCTCATCTTTAGGGAGCACCTTGGTTGGATATCCACGCGATCTTCAGTTCTCTTCAGCAACACCACAGTGCAAAGGCTTTGATACTGATTGCAGTCGTATAGATAGGAATTTAATTTTTTAAATGATTTTTATCAGGTTATCAGTTCCCCAAGCCAGCCGTCATCTCACAGCTAGAGGAAGAGGAGGCCTGTGAGGTGGAGGGAGACAGAAGTGAGGTGGAGGGAGGAAAAAGGACAGCGGTCGTTCAAGGTGAGTGTGCGAACAGGGCTGAGCGCTGGGGGTCAGAGGGCAGTTCCTCCAGCACGCCTCGGTCAGGGTGAAGGGGAGGAAGACCTCCCACCCCAGACAGTCCTGGGCTTTCTCTCGCAGCACGAATCCCACCTCTCCCCCTGCAGAAGGCGCCCCCCACCCACACAGCTCAGAGATGGCCTTGCCGCCGTTCCAGGGAGGCCTGTCCTGGTTCCGAGTCTCTTTGCTGCCGCCCTGGGGCAGCCTTCCCTCGCTGGTCCCCTCGCTGGCGGGCCCTCCCATTGGTCCCCTCGATCCCTCTAGGACAATCCTCTTGCAGCCAGACCTCCACCGTCATGTTTTCTTAAGCAGAGAGAGACCAAGACTAGTGGTGCAATGTCACAGCTCTTTCTGACTGTCTCCAGCTGTTTTTTGTTTTGTTTTTCTTCATTTGTTTTTGGTTTTATTTTAATGAAAGTTTACAAAGACTTCGGGTTTCCATTCTTTCATTGTTGCACTTTTCTCCCTGTCCACTCCTCCCGCATCCCCCCAGTTTGCTCTTCTCTTTGAAAAGTAAAAGAAAAATTCTTTCATTGTTATATAATCCCTCTCCCCAAGTCCACTCCACTGTGCAGCCTTCGTTCTGGACTCCTGTCATGACAACAATACCTAACCCTATATCCCTTTTAAACAGTTCTCTCCCTCATCTGTTTCAATGCAGTGTATATTATTTATTCCATCTTTCTCAGCGTCCCCCCCAACCCCGATATCAGTCCTGTTTTACAACAGTGTCACCATGCAGTATTTGTCCTTTCATGACTGGGATACTTCACTCAGCATAATGTCTTCCAGGGTCACCCATTTTGAATAATATTTCATGAGTTCCTTGTTTTTTTCTGCATCGTAGTATTCCATTGTGTGAATATACCGCAGCTTCTTTATGCATTCTTTTGTTGATGGGCACTTGGGTTGTTTCCAGTCCTTTGCTTTTGTGAACAAAGCCGCAGTAAACATGGGTGTGCCTTGTCTCCAGTTTTCTTATGGACTAACTCCTTTGATGTGTTGACACCAGAGGCTCTTCCCGTTCCTGTCTTAACCCTTCATTTCCACCCCACGACCTCTGCCAACACATATGTCTCCCTGTACACACTATTCTAAAATGTTCTGAAAAATAAAAATCCCTACCAGGATTTTAATAGCTGTAAGATAACCTTACAGACTTTGCTGTCTCCAGACTACACAGTTCAAATCTGATATTTACCATTCGAAACTGAAGATTCTCACCACTGGGCCAATTGGCAGCATCAGTATGGATGGTGAAGAGATTGAGATCGTTAAGAGTTTTAGTTTACTTGGCTCCACAGTCAACACTCTTGGTAACAGCAGCCAGGAAATCGAGAGACTAATTGCAATGGGAAAGTCAGCCATGAGGGACCTCTCCAAAGTACTGAGGAGCAACGATGTCAGGCTAGAGACTAAGGTGCCCCTGATATAGGCCATGGTCTTTACAATTGCATGCCATGTGTCAGAGAGCTGGACAGTGACTAGGGATGATAGAAGGAGAATTGATGCCTTTGAGCTGTGGTGTTGGAGAAGAGTGTTGCATATACCATGGACTGCTAGGTATACAAACAGATTCATCCTAGAGAGGGTTAAACTAGACTGCTCCTTGGAGGCAAGGATTCTGAAGCTCTGTCTGACATACTTTGGACATGTTGTAAAGAGAGACTGGTCCTTGGAGAGGGACATCATGCTTGGTAGGGTGGAGGGACAGTGCAGGAGGGGAAGACCCTCTATGAGGTGGATTGATTCAGTGACTGGGATAATCGGGATGGGTGTGTCAGAGACAGTGCGATTGGCACAGGACAGAGCAGAGTTTAGGGCTGTTGTACATAGGGTCGCAAACGACTCGACGGCACATAACAACAACAACAACATATATATTTATCTGCAGGCTGTAGGGGCTGGTGCAGATGCCAGCAGCATCCTGTAATGCATCTTTGATAGGCACTGGGAGGGAAACAATGATAAAAAAGAAGTTTGCAACTCTTTAGATTGTGGTCGTCTGAAACGGAAACGGCCGAGTATCTGACGAGGCCTCTGTGCCTTGCAGAATTGCACACCACCAGCCCGTTGGGCTGGAGTTAGAGTTTCAGCGACATCCTCAGGACCTGGTTCCGCAGTGTCTTCACACTCTGCCAACAGATCCTAGATGGCTTTTGCCTTGTTCCCACCCAAACAGGAAAGCAAATGAGAGGAAGAGAGGCCCTCGAGGCTTGCCTGGGAATGAAGGAATGCCTTTCTCCAGCCTTTTGCTTCAGGTCGCATCCCATACTCGGTTTTCCATTGTCCCACATTGCGTCATAATCCAGCCACCGTGTGCAGTGAGAGTAAGAGAACAGGTGTGTTCTGGAAGGTATCTGGACGATGGAAAAAAGAAATCTAGAAGCCTTTGACACACTTTCTGTTCTACCTTGTTCTACACTGTTGTTGTTGTTGTTGTTATGTGCCGTCGAGTCGTGTGTGACTCATAGCGACCCTGTGTACAACAGCCCTAAATCGTGCTCTATCCTGTGCCAATC